GAATGTACAGATTGCCAAACTTGATAAGGCTGTTTGTTGCTTGATGCTGTAGTGATTCATCCAGCTCAGTAAATTCCCTAGGAATATTAGGAATTACAACTACAACCCCAATTACCTCCTGTTAATCAGATTAGAAAAGAAAAACTACTCAAGTGGAATTTTTGGACTTGTAATTAAGGCATTTCCTCAAATATCTTTTTAATGTAATAAATTTGAATAAAATCAAGAATCAAAAGAAGATAGAAGTCAAAATAATGTGGGGGTTGGTTTTTTTCGGAAAAACAAGACTTGTATATATGTGTTTTGAAGGAGTTTTAGTTCTTTACCATGTTTGAAAAAAAAATCTGTTATTGTTTGTTAAACTGTTCATACTATTTTTTGAGGTTTTTTAAGATACATTTTTAAATATTGCATGATGTTTTAGAATATTTCTATTATTTTACAACTTAAAGTTCTTTTTTTTAATAAACCAGCTTGTGAGATTTGACTACTGGGCTATAGAAACCCACACATGGAACCCACACATGGAACACACAGCTAGAGGGATTTAAATTATTTAAAAGAAACAGACCAAATAAAAGAGGAGGTGGAGTTGCTCTCTATATAAGAAATAACTACATCTCTACAGAAATAGAGCACAACAATGATAAAAACTGTCTTGAATGCATTTGGGTCAATATAAAAAGGGGGAAAATGACATTGTCATAGGTGTATACTACAGGCCACCCAGCCAAACAGAGGAAATAGATGAACTTTTTGATAGTCAGCTAACTAAAGTATGTAGGAAGCAAATCACAATAGTAATAAGGGACTTTAACTACCCCAACATCAACTGGGAGACAAACTCTGCATCAAGTGGAAGATCAAATAGGTTCCTGACAAACCTAGCAGACAACTTTGTCTCCCAAAAAGTAGAGAAGGGAACTAGGGGATTAGCCATTTTGGATCTAATTCTCACTAACAGAGATGAAATGATAGAAATTGTTGAAGCCATAGGAACCCTGGGAGGAAGTGATCATGCAATATTGGAATTCAACATTATGGAAGCATAAGCAATAGAACACAGTCAAACTAGAGTCTTGGACTTCAAGAGAGCTAATTTCAATAAACTTAGAGAGGGCTTGCGACCAAAGTCAAAAATAACAAAAAAAGCTTCTTTCAACATGTAAAAAACAAGAAAAAAGTGAAGGAAATGATTGGTCCATTAGTGGGTGGAAGTGGCAAGAAGGTGACAAACAACAGGGTGAAAGTAGAACTATTTAACTCATTTTTTGCATCTGTCTTTACACAAAGGGAAAAAACAGACGAACCTATCGAAAATAGTGTCATAAAAAACAGAATAGAAAGACAAGTTAAGATAGGCAAGAAAATGATAAGTGAGCACCTGTCCAGCCTAGACGAGTTCAAATCACCAGGGCCAGATGGATTACACCCCAAGGTTCTCAAGGAACTGGCAGATGTAATCTCAGAACCACTGAACTATATTTTTCAAAGATCTTGGAGCACTGGGGAACTACCAGAGGACTGGAAAAGAGCTGATGTAGTTCCCATCTTCAAAAAAGGGGAAAAAATGGATTCAGGAAATTACAGACCTATCAGCCTGACCTCAATACCTGGGAAGATTCTGGAAAAGATAATCAAACAATGAATCAGCAAACACCTAGAGGCAAACAAAGTCATTACTAAAAGCCAACATGAGTTTGTCAAAAACATGCCAGACAAATCTTATTGCATTCTTTGACCAAGTGACAAAATTAGTGGATCAGAGAAATGCTGTGGATACTTGGACTTCAGTAAGGCATTTGATAAAGTAGATCACAACCTACTACTCGATAAGATAGAAAAATGTGGGTTAGACAGCATCACCACCAGATGGATTCGTAGCTGGCTGACTCAGCGTATGGTCCTCAATGGAACTGCATCTGCATGGAAGGAAGTGTGTAGTGGGGTGCCCCAGGGCTCTGTTCTAGGCCCAGTGCTCTTCAACATCTTCATCAATGATTTGGACGAGGGGATAGATGGGGAACTCATCAAATTTGCGGATGATACCAAGCTGGCAGGAATAGCCAACACTCCAGAAGACAGGTTTAAGATACAGGAGGACCTGGACAGACTTGAACACTGGGCACTATCTAACAAAATGAAATTCAGTGGTGAAAAAAGTAAGGTTCTACATTTAGGCAAGAAAAACCAAATGTACAGGTATAGTATAGGGGGTACCTTGCTCAATAGTAGTAACTGTGAGAGGGATCTCGGAGTCTTAGTAGACAATCACTTAAATATGAGCCAGCAGTGTGCTGCAGCTGCCAAAAAAGCCAACACATTGCTGGGCTGCATTAACAGAGGGATAGAATCAAGATCACGTGAAGTATTAATACCACTTTACGATGCCTTGGTAAGGCCACACTTGGAATACTGCATCCAGTTTTGGTCACCACGATGTAAAAAAGATGCTGAGACTCTAGAAAGAGTACAGAGAAGAGCAACAAAGATGATTAGGGACTGGAGGCTAAAACATATAAGGAACGTTGCTGGAATTGGGTATGTCTAGTTTAACGAAGAGAAGGACGAGGGGGGACATGATAGCAGTATTCCAATATCTCAGGGGCTGCCACAAAGAAGAGGGAGTCAAGCTATTCTCCAAGGTGCCTGAAGGCAGGACGAGAAACAATGGATGGAAACTGATCAAGGAGAGAAGCAACTTAGAACTAAGAAACTTCCTGACAGTTAGAACAATTAACCAATAGAACAACCTGCCTCCAGAAGCGGTGAATGCTCCAACACTGGAAGTTTTTAAGAAGAGACTGGACAGCCATTTGTCTGAAATGGTGTAGGGTTCCTGCCTGAGCAGGGGGTTGGACTCGATGACCTCCAAGGTCCCTTCCAACTTTACTATTATTATTATTATTAAGCCTAATTACAATATCTAGTATTTATCCCTTGCAACAAAATTGTATTCAATCATGCAAGTGGATCTACTCTTGGTGGAGTTGTACAGCCAAAGGTCCAAGCAGATTCATGCTCTCCTTCAGTTTGCATTGTAATGGAATATTCACTAGTCTTTCTCTACTTTTCTACATTGTCCTCCAGCCAATTTCCATTACTAATTAGGAGTCTGTTGTAAACTATGGAGCAAAAAACTTTGATATCTTAAAGAAAAAAAACTGGGAGTTCCAGAAGTACTAACATTTCTAGAACATGAATGCTGATTTTGTCAATATATTAACTGACATTAGCACCGTGTGTCAAAGAAGCACAAAGCAAAAAGGAGAAAGCAAATCACCATTTGTTAAAAAGAGACTATAGTCATGCTGACGGAGAAACTTAACTGCTTCTTCCTGGTACCAATAAAGATTTTTATCAGGACATGTTGCTATTGAGCATATGAGTGATTTTTGCTGAATTCAAGCTGGGGGATGACAAATATGTTAATTCTGGCATTTTAAACTTTAACAGTGTATTGTGAATATACACACAAAATCATGCAGTAATGGAATAGCTGCCATAATGCTTGGTGTTAATCCCCAAAAGTCATGTTAGAAGAAAGGCACTCAAATTAAATTGTTCCACCACCACCCAACTCCTTTCAATTCCCCCGGAATGCGGTCTACTTATCTTAATTTTATCTTAACTTTTTTTATAGAAGTCCTTGATATTCTCTGAGCTTGATTGTTTGCTTGTAGATGTTTCATTACCCAATTTGATAACATCATTGGTGCTTTTGAGTGTGGGCTTTGCTCCCTTTTTATATACAGTAGCTTGCCCTGCCAGTATTGGTTGAGATATGGTTTTATCATTTGTAATTAGGGTATTGTTTTCTGCTTGGTTATTTGTCTCATGTTAATTCCTGTTTATCTGTGTGTTAGCTGCTAGAGAATGTATGTTCTAGTATTCTTACTTTTTTATAGACTCCTTTGAATGGTGTGTAAATGTGGTTTTTCTCTGTTTGCCTATTGATGGCTGATTTGTCTGAATACGAAGCTTTCAAGAATTGGATTTAGCTTGGTCTACGATGCTCACAGTTTCCCAATTATAACTATGGTTGAATCGGTCCATGTGTTGTGAAATTAAAGGGGTTTCTTTGTGTCTTCTGATTGCTAACTGATATTCATAGATTGCTCTGCAAGATATGCTTTTGTTTTCAAATATGCATTAATTCTAATACTGAACTGCTTCCAGTCACCAGTTGTATTTCCCAAGAATGCTTATAAACTCTATGTGAGATGCAAAGGAGTCCTGTGGAAAAGATGATACTAGAGACTGGCTTTGCCAAATGCCATTGCTTTGGGCACAAGGGACTTAGTGGCAGGCAGGCATATTAATCTCAATAGTCTGTATGATGCCTATAGGAGCTGATGAAATCTAGAAATGATACTGAAATTAAATAAGGTACAAAGATTGTGTTACTGCTGCTTATCATTGCTCAGACTAATTGGCTATATAAAACCAAGTTTTTGAAGTTGTAGATAACCAGAAACAGGCCTTTGGAATTGGTTGACAATTATGCAGCCCAGTCTGTGTTTGGTACCAATGTTGTATAAGGGGGTTTATCAGGGAAGATAGACAAGACTTTGGATGATGCTCCCAGTTTGACTGGCAAATAGATGCACGTACGCACGCACGCACGCGCGCACACACACACACACACACACACACAGAGAGAGAGAGAGAGAGAGAGAGACAGCAGTTTTTCTGCATATGTCTGCTTCCTGTTACACAGATGGCTGTTTGTGCAGCAACTGGCCATTCTGCTTATTTTTGGAACAAGAAGAGGAAGTGTTTACAGTTGCCCAGTAACTGCTGCACATCTTTATAACCATAGTCCTAGAATCCCCATCAGTCAGTTTATGATATTGAAAACAATGGCTATTGTAAAACACGCACATGCATGAATGTACCAAACAACAGCTGGAGTGTGTGTTTTTGGAGAGAGGCAAGGTATAAGAAAAATGAGAATTGACTATAACAAACTTAATCCAGAATCTTTTCTTCTCCTGCAGGAGGTGGAGGAAAGCGCAAAGGTAAAAGCAAAAAATGGAAGGAAATCCTGAAGTTTCCTCATATTAGCCAGTGTGAAGATCTTCGAAGAACAATAGGTACAAACTTACTTTTTTTGCCTTTCCCCCCCAAATATTTGGTTTGAGAGCCTTTCTTATAACAAAGTAAAATAGCTTTACTTTTTTAATATAGGAAACTTTTTACTAAATAAGGCCAAATCTATAACCTTCAAAATATTAAATATATTGAATAGTGTTACTCTAAGTCAGTGGTTCTCAACCTTTCTAATGCCGCGACCCAATAATACAGTTCCCCATGTTGTGGTGACCCCCAACCACTTATACATCACCGGGTGCCAGGGGCATGGCCAAAGAAAAGGGGGAAAAATGGCGGACAGCCTTGTTTGGCGACCCCCATGAAATGGTCGTTCGACCCCAAATGGGGTCCCGACCCACAGGTTGAGAACCACTGCTCTAAGTAATAATCCAAAAATACTAGGTGATGTATTATTAGGTATATGCAAAATCTCCTGCTTCTGGTTTGGAGGATTAACTTCCAGAAAATTACTGCATCATTCCCAGATTGAATGGATTATCATGCTCTGGGAGAGTTCCTGAAATAGTAGATTTTGTACAAATCTATTATTCATATTGTCATATTTTTATTTATATGGTACTCTTTCAAAGAAATCTGTGCATTAAAGACAACAGCAGATGGCCTGGGCTAATAAGGTTTGCCATTCATACAGACATTGTTGAGCCAGCACACATATATGTGTTGGTGTATGCAAGTTGCTGCAAGAGAAAAGTGTACACAAGAAGAACAATTTTTTTCTGGAATTTTAGATGAAACAGAACAGTCTGTCTCTGAACTGAATGCTTTCTCAGCAGTTGGGTTTCTACTTCCATTTACACATACTGTATATCACTGAAATTCTGGACTGTAAGATTATCCATCTACATTGTTATTTGGAATAGATGTCACAGTGCATGGGGTGTTTGAACAGCAGGATCTCTAGCAACATCAAACTGCTTCTATCGACTTTAAAAAGTAGGCATGTGCTTTTTGGCATATCTAGCCAAGCCCAGAGAGAAGCTTCCTTCCCCGCTAAAAGGAGGGAAATAGTAGTCAGGGGTGTCCACTGTTAACCTCTACTCCCATAGCTACTGTCGGAGTCAGATGCCCTGCAGTTTTTGTCACACAGAGTTAGGCTGTAATAGAAATCTGTTGAATATGGAAGAAGAAAAAATATTTCTAAAATATGGCAGACAAGAACCAGATGGACATTCCAGCCTTATCTCCTAAGTGACCAACCAGTTAAGGAGTTTGTGAAAAAGAGGATCAAATCACTCCCAGAGACTCTGCCTTAATGTTCTCTCTAATACATGGGAAATAGACTCTGATATTCTGTAACTCCTATTTCCTTACATTAAATATTTTTACTGAGACTTATGTATGAATCTCATACATAATGTATCTCATTTCTTGTCATCTACTGCTGTTTGGGCTTTGACCAGGAAAAGGCTAAGAAGAGCAGAAATGTTCGCCACTTTCATTGGGCTGGCAATCAGCAAGCCCATACGGTCCCAGTTTGAACCACTGCTTTCTACTTCAGCTGAAGCCTATTGCCTTGTAAAAGGTCTCTCTGGAGATGTAGAGAAGTGGTTGCAAATCTGTGCTGACCATGATATTCTCTATGTCTTCTGCTATGATTGATTGATGATGGGGTACAATTGGGAACAATATTTTAATCCTTTTAAGGAACCCGCCATCAGCATGAGAATACAAGAAGGTCCATCCTCAATCTAAGAGCTCTAATATGAGAAATGTTGGAATGTGGCTATGATGCCACTTAAGAAGGGGGTACCAGAAATCCCTGGTGGGATGCTCCAAACTGGGAATATGGGAGACCATTGGGGGAGATAAACAGAATAAGGAATCAATTTCCAGTATGATAGGCTGAGAGAAATATAGCAGGATTATATTTCAGAAGCAATTCCAGGAAAATGGGGCTCAGCAATCTGGTTCCTTTCTTCCAGCCCGGCAATCTTGTTTGCAGGTCATGGATCACATCTTCACCATAAGCAGCATAAGCAACACAAGTGTCTTTTCTTTTGGGTCATTCATACTTGGAACCTTCTGCATCCAGAAGTTTACTCAGCGCCCTCCTCACATGGCATTTTGAAAAGCAGTCAAAATTGCCCTTCTGCCAAGTTTTTAAATCCAACCAATTGCTTAGATGTCCATCTGGGGGATAAGTTTGGATTGCGTACATTGTTTGCATTATTTCATATTTTTTATTCTGCTGTATTTTACTCATATACTTATTTATATAAATAAGCCTACAGATTGCTACCAACGGCAGTCCTCCCTTGCTTTATTTCTGATCACTGATGAAAGGGTGGAGTTTATAGAAAATCTAAATATTGGAACACTTACTATGCACTAATGTCTGGCATTACTCCAAATAGTTTACCTAGAAATATAATCATTTATATAGTCATATCTATAATGAGTTGGACTAAGATTTAGATATGCCATTAAACACTTGAAATATGACTGCAGTTCCACTTAATACATCCAGAGATGTATTTAAAATAAGGTCAGAAAGATGATTGAAGCTTTTTACAACTAATTGCTCTTCTGGATGGAATAAATTAGAATTTATTTTAGATTTGGTGGGACACACACACAAACAAACAAACACACACAAACACATGTAGAAAACACAACGTAGCAAGAAAGTAATAGACAAAAGATGTTAAAGACATGAGATGTGCAGAAACTGTAGCCATATCTAGTTTACAGCAACAGCATTCAGACCACCTTTCTAATACTTGAAAACTGCTTTTATCTTTTCCATAAGTCACTTCACGTTTCTTCGTTTGTTTTTACTTTATCACTGTCTTCTTTTTTTGAGAATCCCAGCAGTTCCATCAAGTCAGAACATTCTTGGTCTTCCCGGAAAGGGGAATTTATCCATTCACTCCTTCATTATTTGTTTTGCATTTGGTTTCCATTCATTGTCTCCACCTGATAAATTACCTCAGAGTTGTTCTTGATCAGGTCACTATTTTTATCACTGAGAAAATAATTTCAATTAGCACTGTTATGATTAGTAATCATGCATAAATATCCTCGCTTTTATTAATTGAAATAAAACAGTAAACAAAACCCTGCTTTGATGTTTATAGTTATTTCCTGTGAAACATTCAGAAAGAACTATGGCCTACATTAAACAGGAGAATTTCTACCTCTTATTGAAAGACATCTTGAATTAGCGGAAATCAAGTTCTTGTGGTTGGTTTCTGAGTATGTTAACACCATGAACATAGAAGGAAATCTAAATTGAATGTCAGTGAGATGATCAAAGACAATTCTAATCTCATCTCTAAATATGTCTGACTGTGTTGTTACCACTATGGGATGGGAGTGGGATTGGAGAGGGATTAAGTTTGGATTTTTAACTGTGGATTTTTTATGTAGTACATTGCCCAGAGTTACCATGTGTGAGTTGGGTGGGTATATAAATCTGTTTAATAAATAAATAAATTCCATGGCATTAAAAGAAAAGAAAATCCTCTCTGGCTGTCATAAAAATTATCTTTTATTTAGAGTCAGTTCTTGGCTAGTACCATTGACTAATACTGTAGTGCAGGGGTGGGGAACAATGGCCCTTTTATGACTGGTGGACTTCAACTCCCAGAATGCTGTTTTGGAAATTCTGGAAGTTGAAGTCCACAAATCATAAAGGGGCCATCATCCCCCACCTTTGGAAATAGGTTTATGTACTTATGTCTATAGTCTGCTTCTTTCATTGCATTCCCTCCTCCCATCCAATAAAAGCACTTGTATCATCTTGAAGCAGTTTTGGTGTATGCGAAGTCTTCTAATCCTTGATGTTTGTGGGAAGTTCTGATTGCCTGATAGTTATGAACCTATCTTTATATCCTTCAGAGTGGGAACAGACTTTCTGCAGTTATCCTGAGAAGGCTTTGAGAAAACAAGGCATCTTTTCAGCCACATTCCAGAATTTTGTATCTTGTTTTGTATTTTATTTTGACTTGGTGATCTCACTCCAAAAGCAGCATTGCTGGCTTTGCTCACATCTTAAGCATTTTAAACTGGGAAATAATGGACAGATTTATAATTCACAACTTTCACTGAGAAAAGTCTGTATGTCATAAGAATTGGCACCTGATTAACAATCTCTAGTCAGAGGTGTAAGGCAAGGGTTGGGAATAATGGCCTCTTTATGACTTGTGGACTTCAACTTCTCAGAATTCCTGAACCAGCATGACTGGCTCAGGAATTCTGGGAGTTGAAGTCCACGAGTCATGAAAGGGGCAAGGGGCATCGTTCCCCACCCCTGGTGTAAGGCATTCACTTTGAAAGATGTTTATATGTGGGAGTGGGCTGTAAGAAATAAAATAAACATTGATTTTATCACAGGCAGAAGCAAAGCATAAATAAATAATATAGTTTTATCTCTCACAAGTTATAGCTTCCCATCCCATCAGAAACAATCACCTTTTTCTTAGAAATCACACTTGGAACAAAAGAAATAGTTCGCCAGTTCGCCAGTCTTTGCAATTCTAGCAAAAGTTAAATATCTATGTTACTGAATAGCAGTTTCTATACTATTTGAAGCAGGGTTTAGTTATCACTGAATGTTATTATTTAGCTATTCTTGGATCTCTTCCCTTAAAATTTTGGAATCTGAAATATATTTTCTTTGAGTGCTGTCCTAGAGTTGGATGACATGTGCTGTATTTTCTGCCATTGAAGATTTGGATGGACTGCAATGGAAGCAATCAAGAAGATGGAAATGTACTTCCTCCCCCCCTGTCATCCCACCACCGAAAATATGCAGAAAATTTAGTTAAGAGAACCTGAAACTGAAAAAAAAGAGGATTCCTGAACTTGACAGCTTTCAGGACATTTTGGGATCATAGGGGAAATTAGTCCAAATGATTTCAGTCCACATTCTTTTAATATAATTTATTTCACAAAACTTAATCCTTGGAGGACTATCTGGGCAACAACAAACTAGAAGAAAAGCAAACAAATTTTGCTCTTTCAAAAGGATAGGCAAATC